TAAAAAAATGTATACAATTTTTCCGCCGTATACATGAAATTTATTTCGACGCTGTATCTCTCCCAGGCGGGGAGAATTTATACCGAGGACTAAAGACAGAAAGAGAAAAACGAAGAGGAGGGAGTGCCGGGTGTGGAGGAAATACAGAGCGCAAAAAGCCGCCGCGATCGACTTGAGATCAGCGGATATGCAGTAAAAAAGTAATAGACTAGGGGCTGGAACGGATATAAAGCGCCAGGATACAATCTCTCGTATATGAGGAGAAAAACAAGTCCGGTTGGTACCGAGAGATACATGTGAATAAAATACAGCGAGAGAAACGGAGATTAGCATATTCGTCCATTTGGAATTTCAATTATTAAAATTACGCAAACATGGATAGAATAGGAGACGGGCCAATAACACGGCTCCAGTGACGAAACCGTGAAGCTTTTAATGGTATCCGCGAGATAGGATACATGAGAAATGGACTAGAGATGTATGACATCTCTCTGTGATCGTTAAAACTGTTATCGCTTCGCAGACAGATTGAAACGGATTGTCGTCGGGTCGACGTCGCGGAAAGCGACAAGGAAATCATCCAGAGTGAATACAAGAGACGGCATATGGACTCGACATAATTAAATTGAAGAGCGAAATTGATGAAAGAAGTACATACGTCACGTTCTTACGAACGTGGAATTATTACGGTAAGACACAGTATTAGTCATATTATCGATTCAACATTCGAAATAGTACTTGCTATATATTGAGAAAAGTTATATGACCTACATTAGAATGTAAAAATAAATGTTATAATAATATTTAATAAAGTAGAACATATAAAATTTCATATTAATATATTAGTATATATTAGTTTTTTTTAGGAGAGTTAAATTGTTAGATATCACGTTCAGAAGCAGAATTCCTGAAAAAAATAAGACAGGAATTTACTCATTTGTATCATCTGCGCGCATGTACATGCAATCAAATACACATTACACAGTTTAACAAGAAAAAGAAGAAAAAAGAGTTTAGAAAAATAGCTATTCCTTGCAGTTTATTATATTTAACACAATTTTAACTGTAGAAATACAGTAATATTTGTTTATTATAAATAATTATTGGTAACATTTTAGATATACATTATCATATTACATCACATAATATTTTTAAAAAATTTGACTTGAAATTGAAGTAAAAAGACTAAAATTAAAAAGAGAACACAATTATACATACTATACAACGATTACATGAAGCGTTTTATTACATTCAGAATTAAGTAGTATTAAGATCAATTTTCAAGTAAAATTATTTTCTCTTATTTTAAAAATTAAGATTAATAAAAGTTTAGAATTAATTTAATAAATGATTTAAAAAATTTTAAAAATTAAAATTAATCTCGATAATTAAATATTGGATTTATTATACCGCACAGGTTGTATATTAAGGGATACAAATATACCACAGAAATTGCATTCACCATTTTGTATTTGTTAAATTTTTTAATTAAAAAAATTTTTTTAGTCTTTTTTAATTAATCTTGAAATTGTGTGACGCAACGAAGCATTTTGAAAATTGAAATTGTATTCAGCATAAGAAAGAACTACAGAAAATGATACTCTCTTTCTTGAATTTGAAAAGAAACAAGTTTCTTTTATTGTATTATCGATTCAGTCTTTAGTGTTATCAATATTATATTACTTAACAAAATGGATTAAGTATTTAACGAGATAAAATTGATGGATGATTGGTTTCGAATAAAGTACGAAAGAATGTTGTGATAATATACAGAAATAGATTTTAATTGAAGTAGATCGAACTAGACGACGATATCAATTGAATATCATGTATATGTATATGTGAAGTGAAGAAATAAAGGAAATATACCATACATCATATGAAAGTACATGCCTGAATAAATCAACGTTATTCAGTGTGCCATAATATCGTTTTATTAGTTTCGCGTTAATATTTAGTAAAATGTTTTCATTAATCTAAATAAAGGACGGTTAATATTCTACTGTATTATATAAATAATTTTATAATAAGCAAAATGTTTTTAGTAATATATTTATTTTTTTAAGCTCTTCTATATCTGATGTCAAATTTTCAAGTATTAAATTATTAATTGTAGAATGTCTATCAATTAATAGTTATTAATTTAAGATCCTCAGAAGATAGACATAATTGTAATTAAATTAAATTCTTTAGGCCATAATTGATTTTTTTCTTTAAATACGTAACACATATATGTAACACATTGTACAAACATATTCTAATATTCGTTAATTGTTAATAACATTTTAGATATGCATTATTATAACATATTATTTTATAACAAAGTAACATAATATATATTACATTGTTACATAAAATTATTTACGCTACTTATTGCAGCTTTCACAAAATGTATTTGAGTAATATCATTTAAAACCGTCTATCGTGGAGAAATAGCAAAACACATAATCGCGCACGCATATAAATTCGAAAAAAAGACCTCGGTAAACTTCAGAATGCATGTCGGGTGCAGTCGCATCAAGCTCCGTGAGAAAGCATGTGCAAAGAATACAAAAGGGGGCCCCGTACACCAGAAGGGGTGGCGACATAATATTGGCAACGTAGCGTATCCGTATAGGGCTAACGTCCTATTATACACATATACGGAGCTCTATCGTACGCATTTATGTGTGACGCTGATTAGCGACATATATTCTCGCGCACCATTTAGGATTATCTCACGTGTGCTTGTGGATCTTCTAAATATGATAAGTATATATTTTAAGCTTATTTAAGCTAAGGTCAACGTGTGCCAGAATCCCCGACCGGAATAATCAACGAACAATCGAGATAAATATCTCCCCCTTTTTTCTCTGGTATAGGCGGGTGTCACATAACTCACGACGTTAATTTTGTAGTGACAGAGTCTCTAAAAAAATATAAAACCGACTTTTCTTTTTAAGCATCGAAAATATCGATTTAAAGTTTGAAAAATGTTGGAATCTTATTTCTACTTTTTTATTATTTTTTTTATATGTTATAGCTTTTCTTCGATTAACAGTTTTATGTTACAAGCAATGGAAAGAGAAAAATGGTTCGCAACTTATAAAATAAAAGTATAATAATACTTCTTAACAAGTTTTTTATTTCTAAGACAATCTGATAAAGGCAAAAACAGAATTTCAAAATGACTAGATTCAATTTAAAAATATCAAAAATGTACAAACTATTATTCTCGAGTCTTTGAAAACTTTCAGACAAAATAAAGTATGTATTAAAATAATGAAAATATGGAGATAAAAATAATGGGACAATATAATAATCAACTATAACAAAATTCTTTATACAAATATTTCAGCTTTTAGTAGCTTATAATCGTAATAAAGCATCTCTATTATCGTCGTAGCGTCACAGCCGCGCTTCGAATTCATCCGATATATTCGCTACGCTTCCATCGAATGCCGATGCAATGGCATTAACTAATATATATGCGAGAGGCCGAGAATCATACAGTCATTTAATTTGCACGCAGCCTCTGCGCTGCGCCGGGTTGCGCTTTTGCGCGCACGGCTGATCAGAAATTGAGTGGGAATTCAGAGACGGGATTAGTTCTACGATCACATTCGAAGCGGATTACTATATATGTTACTCGCGCAGCCTAACCGCGATACTCGCTTTGAGACTTAAAGAACATTCAAATCAATTGAGCCGATTAATAAAATACGTGATATAATTTTTAAGATTTCTCATTTGCGTCTTTTTTCAACGATAAACTTCCCGTATTTTTCAGATAATAAGCATTTTATGAACCAAATATAATTGACTCTCTATTTCTATTTTTACTTTTATTTTTTATTTTTCTGGCAAATAATAATAAATATTATTTGATATTTTTGATAACAAAAGATCGAAATTTGTCATTTGTGTATGTTCGACTAGTTTTATCTACTGCTATCAAAATAAGAAGAGGTTTTGAAATGTCGTATTGATATAACCTAATTTCCTTTTATTTATTTTACAGAGAGTTATACCAAAAATATTAAGAAACAAAAGAAACATAGGATTAGTTTAATTTTATGTTAAACAGAACCGGTGCATATACAAATAACAAATTTCAAAAATGTTATAAAAAATATCAAATAGTGTTCGATGCAGAAAGATTGCAAAAAACGATAAAATGGAGAAATAAAAACAGAAAATACAACATCTTATAATAAAAATCACATAGATGTTATATAATTTTATCACTTCCTAAAATATATTTTGTCTTAAAATATGAAGATAAAAGAATTTTTAAGAGAACAAAGTTCAAAATCGCTACAAATAAATTATAATTACCTTTCTCCGCATAACGCGATGAATTTGTCAAGAATACAATTACTGAGATATGTATATTATCTATAGAATTTCAGACATATTTTGAGCTTCCTCATTACCCCATCACTAACGTATCAATATCCATTATGTGAACAACGGCCGCGGCCATCGCGGAAATCTGATCGCTATCATCATATATTTACATCGAAGACTTGAATTTAGTTTAGTGGGATTCCGTAATGAGATCATGTTCGATAATATGTTGCAGTATTGAAAATTCATTATGATAATTTCACATTAATAAACCATAGAGAAATGATGATGGGGCTCAAGAATAAATCTCTCTGTTTCTCCTTATTATTCAACGTGATTTGAATAATACGTGAGAACCGATCGATAATCCATACGTAATGTCACACATGCTGAAAGCGTGTATATGTACGATATCTTGGCGTATTAATACCTGGAAAGAAACCGCGACAGGTCGTTGCACCATATGCGAATTCTTTACCCTTTCAACGGCAATGAATGCGATTATATTTGCGTCGCGCGACACGCAAAGAATCGTAGCATCGCGCGGCTTCTCTCTTTCACGTCATATATATTTAAGGGCCAGAGCCTTTCCTACGGTGCGCGCGCGGCATGGGTTCTCTTTCATTATTTTTTAACCGAAAAATAAAATAGAAAAGAGTAAGGGAACGCACCCTGCATCCAACCTTCCGGGAGTGTCGGAATTCTCGGCAGGAACGGAAGAAGCTCGGGCGAGACGATCTTTCCACGTTGAAACTCGGCCGGCTTACGGCACCGAAAGGATGAGGCTAATTCACGCTGACGAGATCTGACAAAGATATAATGCCCCTGTAGTCGCTTGATAACCCGTGGATTTTTAATGCTCAATTTTGAGCGCGCGCGGAAGTTTATTTCCGACGGTGTATATATATACTAACGCGGTTCTCCCCCGCGAAATATTTCCTATTATTCGCTCTATTAATCTCCGTATAAAACAGTTATTACTCTTTATAACACAGAATTCCGTGTAAAACATAAGGTAGTTCAAGACGCACGAAAGACACAATTGAAACAATCCGTCAAGTAATCTACTTTAGAGAAATAATTTATTAGCGTATTATTTACGAGTCTTTTGTTCGAAACATTTTTGCTAGAAATAGTTCTTTAAATCAATAATTTTATTAGCGTGTTATTCTTTTTATAAGTAATTAACAGCAAGAAATACCTCTCGGGAGAAACAATCGAACGACTATACAGTATTAAGCAATAAAACAATATTTCTTAACTGTTTCAGTGCCAAGAAGCGCAATCGCGTTTCTTCCGGTTCATATTAGAAAAACTGCCAACAAGCACTATTACTTTTTTTTGTTTCATTATCCGACATATAGTTGTTCCGAGACAATTCAATTTATTAATCCCTGCTAGATTGACGATTGCGGTAGAGATTGAGCGCATAAAGCGAACTTTTATATTTATAATACAATAAAATTTAACAAAAAATTTCATAGTAAAATAGAAAATAATAATATTTTAAAAGACAGTATTTTGTATGTAACATGTCACTTTCTACTTTGAATTGATGAATACTTGAAATGTTCGACCACCACGCAAGTTCAGAAACAAACGTGCCAAATGCAAAATATCGCGCAGATTTTAATCGGGAAATGTCACTCGTTGAAAACTGGTACAAAACAATGTGATAAAGGGTTGAAATATTCAGCGAAACGCTCAGAATATTTGTTCGTTTCAATCGTACTTTCAACATTTTTCGTGCACTCTTTCTTCTTTCTTCCCTCAAAGCCCTTTTTCCCCTTTCTCGCTGTCAAATATACAAAGGTGTTCCGGATCAACCGCGATATAAAAGATATATATCTTTTCAATTGCGGATTCCTCGACCATTGTCGAGCCGATCTTTTCCCTCACGAAAATGTCGTCGACGAGTTATTTTCCGAGTTATAAGAGAAAATGAAAAGACTTCTCGTAAAATACATTTTCTCGTTGTGAAAATGTTTAATTGAATTGTATTTTACAAACACCCTTTTAACGTCGCTAAAACAAAATTTATTTATTTTTGATTCTATCCCATTCTCCAACACATACACGCACATGCGTTTATGTGTCATCCTTACTTAAAAGATTAATTGAAAATCGAATAATTGTAAATGTTAAAATAACATTGTAATGATATTGAAATAGCAACTGCAGAGGCTGAGACAATCGAAAATAAAATAATTGTTAAAACAATGATGTCACATCGAATCGCAAAATTGATTTACAAATCATAATGAAAAGCAAGCGATTGTCAATTTTTTGATTTTCATATCTCTGCTGAATTGTTGCATGTATCAAAAGTGCATTAAACGGAACTAAAAACCAATCGTCAAAGTAGCTACACATAAAAAAACAGACGTGTATAATATGTATATCATATCACTGTACATGTATATCACAAAACAAAATTATTCTATTTTTAAACCTTCATCGCTTTGGAAATTTATTTGAAATGTTTTTTCTAAAACGGCTGAAAAAGTGGAATTGGAATTTTTCTGCGTAACTGTGCCGGTCAAAGAATCTACTATTGAAAAAACATGCCTCAATGGTCGGACTGGCAAAAGACGCCCGGCCGTCACAGATTTTACGAAGGTACAGGGAGTCGATTGTGTATTTTAAACAAAGTAAAAATTACAAAAGAAAATTTATTGGTACCTATGATTTCACTTGTCAAAATATAATACCTTTTCGGAAATATAAAATTCGCACAGAAATATTACTAGTAATCATCTAAATAACAAAAAACTTAGAGCCGTGACAAAATGTGCGTGTCCTATAATAATATACATTCTGTGTGAATATCAATACTTATTCCAACTCAGTGAATTGCTCGCCGAAGATTTATTAAATATTATTAGACTATCAAGATCCAGCCCGACCGAAAATGGCACCTTCTTTAATTAATTATAAGATTCATATCGGTCTTGTTTCACTTATTATGAGGAACAAAATGCTGATTCTAGGAAACTATATATATACCAAATTTAATCACTGATACGGAAAGAGATTAATAAGAGTTCGCGGCGCACAGAAGACTTGTCGTTTTGCTACATCTTAAGGCTGCGGTCCATTTGACGCTACAAATGCTTCGAAGTGTTCTTCTTCTCCTTCAAAGCATTTGTACTTAGCGTCAAGTGGACCGCAGCCTTAATTTTACGTAGAACGCGATTGAAACCGAGCAGAAGCAAAAGCGTCTTGAAATTCGCGATCGAGAACGCACGTATGGTTTCTCAGCGCAGGTCCGGGAGTCGCGCCGGCTCGGATTTGACACAAAACTCCGCACACCGAGAACGAGATAAATATATTGTGAAAACTCACCGGTCAATCCCGCGTCACACGGCCCGCGTCGCAGGATCGTTCACAATCGACTCGTGTCGCACTTATGGGCGGTCGTGTACGGGAACGCGCGCCCGATGTTCACGTAACGTCAACCGCGTAACCGCGTGCCCAAAAGAGAGATGCGCGTTCGTTCGCATCTAAAATGCAACTTAAACCGTAACCCGCGCTTTGCCACCGGCACCGGCGACGGAACGGAGCAGGAGCACTGGCGGCGGCAGCGATGGAGGGGGAAGGAAGGGACGCCGCGTCGCGTCGCGTTGTTCCGCCCTCGCCGCACCAGACGGAGCTAGTGGACTATCGGCCACAAAATGCGAGCGAATTTTAAATCCCTACGTTACCAACGAGATTGAGGGTAATATACCTGCGTTGGAGATCTCTGCCGCGGATAAATTCTCGGATCTGCAACCGAAGGATAAATTGCATAAAACTATTGATAAATGACTAATTGTCGATAAGTAGGATAAGATTACACTCTAATTGAACACGTACCAGGTACAGTATAAAAATAGGGTTGTGCGTAAAATTTCGAGACTTTACATTTACATGAGTTGTTTGCGTATTGTTTATAAGAACCATTTTCATGTAGACAATATACTCAATGTAAATTATTATAAATTGAATGATTAATTGATTAATTTATTGATTTCTTTAAATTGTATTTTTGCAAATAGTTCTACAAAAATATAAAGTATAAATTCTAAACTATAGATTAGATTAGATGTATTTCAGTTATAAATTTATTTATTATTAATTGTACAATAACATGAAAGATGCATACTTGCTAACATATAGGAACATTATTATTTATGTTGAGCTGTTAAACGACAAAAAGCAATATTATACTTATCACGGTTGCAATTCGCACATTATTGTGCATTTTTTTATAGATATAAAATAAAGATCTTCAAAACCGTTGTTAATTTTCCGTAGCGGCCTAAAAATTATGCCTAAACTAAATAACATCTCTCTCTAGTAACTGAAAATAAAACTGCAAACAAAACGTTTTCCGATATTTCTGACGAAATATGAATGTTCGATGATCCGTATAGATTATTCATTGTTTACATGACATAACTTACACTGTATACATGTATAGATGATTATATTTTACGCGTAAGCGCCCACACACAACCCTGACATATTTGTTTCCCCTATATAGGACAAGAACATTTTACCCGATTGCTCGTAAATATTCTACATCGCTGTTCACAATTCAATATCTTTAAATTTAAAAATATGTTACAAACCTGTGTTTTATATTCTTTAGTAAAAATGTCTGATTTCCAGAAAAAAATTTTATTTTTACTTTAATTACAATAATTATGTTTTTGTAAGAATTAATTTTATCATTTATTAATTTTGAATTATCTTATCATTAATGCACGAATTATGCAAAAACATTTCAAAACTTTACTATTTGAATCGTGACAGCTTCTACATACCTATAGCAATGATAAACGTACTAATGAATCTTCCATTATATTTCTGCGAAAAAATAACGTAAAATATGCGAAAAAGAAGCCAATCGACTATGTGTACAGAAGAATATAGACAGCCGATACCATAAAAACGATGGCGATATACAGTAGCGTGCGCGATGTTGGAAACATTTACAAAAATTACTTGCGATAACATACCATAAATGTGATTCACTTTTAACGCGAGAAAAATACAGAGGCTTGCTTAATTGTCAGTAATTCAAAATTAATCGAAGAACATTAATTATTTAATACGTAAAAAAGATTGGATGTATTTTTTCAAGTATTAAACATGGTTCAGAGTCTATAAATTATTCGCAATAATTTAATATGCGAAACTTTTCGACGTACGAAAATAATTACAAAATTTATTAAAACGTCCGATTTCTCGACATGACAAATTTTCTAGTTATTTAGTGATTATTTAACGCAGAAATTTTGAAAAATTTTGAAACTCGGAATTTATTTATTTTATAACTTATTAGTTGTAAAAATATTTAAACATTGGCACTTTTATGTGTTTTATAATTATTGATAAGCTATAAAATCTATTCTTTTTAATTGTACTATATTTCTCGTATTTATTTTCATCCATCTTCCCTTTCTCCCATTTATTCAAACGCCTGAATATATTTATTTTGTTTCAACTCGAAGGAGTATAACGTAACGTAACTATAAGAGAGCAAACCTAGTAGCTGCGAAGAGAGTATCGGTAAATAATGTCATCTTTTCTCTCACGAAAGCAGACTCTTTTCTGCGCTCTTCTCTACCAGGCAAAGAAAGTAAATACTTTGCGCAGATGAAAAAGAGAGCAAATAAACCGCCGACGTTTTCTTTCTCTTTCAGAATACAATCGGAAACATATTTATTGTCATCTGGGGTATAAGGTACGTGTACAGTTCAGTGGTCAAATTTCTTCGTAATATTTTAGAAATTATTCTCGTGTCTGAATTGTTATAATAGTACAATAATAGTAGCATCTATAGTTTACACTTTGTTGAAAGATTAATGAAACGCACGTTATAAAATCTCCTTTTGAAGGAGACTGCGCGGTACGACTTTAATACTTCCAATTATACCATGCCAAAAGATTAAAAATAATTTGACTTATAATAGTAACTTTTTTCTTTCGTGTTATGGAATCCAAAACATTCATCAATTAAATCAATCCATTAGCAAGAATAAATCAGTTATAATAATTAATCGGTGTTAAGAGAGAATTATGATATATTCTAACAATAAATTTCAATATTTAAGAAGATGAATGCATCTGAGAATTACCAAAATGTTTCAATTTTTTATTTTTTATTAGCTTTTATAAGTTAACTTTTTAGAAATAAGTGGACTGTAATTTGATCGTCTGGTTTTAATGATTTATAAATATTTTACCAATTTATAATTAATTTTATCTACGATTTCGCAACTGCACCATTCTCCTTTAGCTCTTTCGTGGGATTTACACGCCTTCTTGCTTGAGATTCGAATCGTGCGCCGTAATGGCGGCCCAGTGCAAATGACGGCGAGATGCGAGGAGAACGAGAGAAGAACAGCCAACAGCGTTGAAAACCGCGCCGAGCATGGCGCCACCGCGCACCCGATAGAACACCGCTCTACCGCTCTCCACACCGCTCGCAGCTCTCTTCTGGCTCTCTCTTGACTCTCCGGCTCCGGCAAGGGGCAGGGCGGGGTGTCGCTGACGTCACGCTCGGCAACGTCCGGCGGCGCTCGACTGGCCCGATCTCGCCCGAACGGGTCAATGTCTGAGGAGGAGGCATCGAAAAATCCAATGGTCGTCGGTGTGGTGTTGCCGTGCTGCTGCTCGACGACGACGAGGCAGAGAGGTCGTCGCTGATCGCCGTGTATCGTTCGACATTCACCACCGCCGCCGCGACCCACGAGCGCGCGCGCGCGCCTCTCGTATTTTTTTTTCTTCCGCGTTCGACATTTACCCACCCGCGTCCATCGCGTCGTCGCGGACACACCGAGAGGGACCGAGGAAAGCTGCTGCGAGAAACTGCCCTGCGTCGGCCTGTCCGGTGCCCGCAGACCAGCGATAGTGTGAAAACAGAGAAAGCGATAGGGAAGGAAAGAAGGGGAGACAGTGCGCCGATTGACCACGGGCGTTGAACGCGACGACGACGACGACGGCGACGACCGACCTCCTGTCGAGGAACGAGCGCATTAACCGCGATCGTTCTTCTCGCTCCGTAATTTCCACGCTACCCGACTCGCATCGCGGCGAAATGCAGCAGTACGGGCTTCTGTCAGACGTCGGTGCAGGCGAGGAGTAGTAGAGTTAACGTCGAGAATCGGAGTAACCAGCGAGTGACGAGGCTCCATAACGAGAGAGGCCGATATAGAAAGAAAGACAGTGCGAGAGACAGAGAGAGAGAGACAACGAGACAGAGAGGGAGAGGGAGAAAGAGACGGAACGAGGCGCGACGGCGCGTGAGAGAGAGAGGAAGAAAGAGAGACGGAGAACGACGGAGCAGCGTGAGAGGAGCGAAGATAGCCGCGAGAGATAGACATCGGCGGGAGATCGACGCGACGTTGGCCGTGGAAGTAAGGTTTCGCGCCGCGCGTCGTCGTCCTAGCGCGGAGGACCGCGCGGTGGCGCGCCGCTACGTAATACGTCGGCGACCGACGACGACGGAGAGAGCCGAGGCGCGGGATCGCGAGGTAGCGGCCGCGTTATATAGGAATCGCGGCCCGTACAAGCCGTCCCGAAAACGTCGGTTCGCCGCCACCGCCACCGCCACCGCCACGACGTTGGCACGCACCCCTCGTCGCTCGCCAGCAGCGCTCCGCAGCGTCGCCCTTCCCCCGCCGCCGTTCATTGGCTGACGGTACCGCGCTTTGGAAACCGCTCGCGGCCGCCGCTGCCGCATCGCCGTGACAGCAGCGCGAGGAGGAAGCTAGGCCGTCGTCGCCGAGAGAGTGCGCGTCAGTGTGTCGGAAAAGAGGGTGGTGTCGCGTACGACGACGACAACGACGTGAAAGTGGCCTCCTCTTCCTCCTCCGTGGAGAAGGTGTTGCTCGCGCGACGAACACGGTGCGGATCGACCCGGGGGGGGACACTCGTCGCGTCGGTGGTGTCGCTGCGCGCGTCTCGCGAGAATTATAGGAAGATAAAAAAGTCATCCGTGTGAAATTAGTGTCGTCCGCGGTTTCGCGCTGCTTCTCGGCCAGTCGCCATATCCCTTCGCCCTTACTCTCCGCGCTCATCTTCCCGTTCCTACGTTTCCCTCCCCCCTCTTCTCCCCCTTTTCCATCTCCGTCCGTCCGCCGAGCTGCGTCGTGACGAAAACGGTGTGAAGAAAGTGACAGAAGAGAGAGAGAGAGAGAGAAAGAGAGAAAGAAAGTGCGCGCGCTCGCGCGCGCTCTCGTGCGATGTGATAATCGCGTGTGCGACTGTCATTGATGTACGAGGTGGTGTTGAAAACAAGGAAAACGACGTCGACGGCGACTACCGGGGCTAACTTCAAGCGGTGGCGGAGGAGGAGGAGGAGCACCGGCCAACCTAACCTAGTAGACGCGGCCGGAGCAGCGGGCGAGAGAGATAGAGTGAGCGAGTGGAGCCGGAGACGCAACCCCCTGCGAGTCGCGGTGTAGGTGTGGTGGAGGTGGAGGTGGAGGCGGAGGCGGTCGAGAGAGCTTCAGGATGAGCGGACGACCGAGAACCACCTCCTTCGCCGAGGGTAACAAGCCGCCCGCGAACCCGCCCCTCGGCGGCATGAAGATCAGCAGTAAGTACCATAACCTCACGTTGTCTCCTACAGTTTCCCCCCCCCCCTCCTTCTCTTTCCAATCGCACGATCTTCGATCGAATCTGCTCTTTCAGCCGTCTCGCCTTTACTCTCGTCCAATTTTAATCTCTGCCACCTATCGAGTATACTCCTAGAGTGTAATAAATTGCTGAAAGGAACAGACGGTCCGCTTCTTTGACCGCTGGATTTGTCCATTTAAATTCTATTTTTTTTCCGCGTATGTTATTTCCTTCTTCTTTTTCTCCCTTGTGACAATTGCGTGCGTACCTGTCTTTTTATTTGGCTATAAAAGGTGTAAGAAAGTACAGAGTGTGAATAGTGAGTGCGGTTAATTTGACGAGGTGTGCGAAGTGTAGGAAGGTGCACATGAAAGGTGCAAACGTACGTCCATCTTTGTCTTTCTTTCCTCGATCGTTCTCTGATATTACTTCTTTTCTTCCATTTTTTCTCTCTCTCTCTCTCTCTACATTGCGCATTCTCGACAAGAAAAATCTGATCTTTTAATTGTATTACTTTTATCTTATAATTAGTCTAAACATGCACATGCTTATTGAGTGCTTCTTAAATACAATAAAGTGCAACGTATAGAGAGTATAATCTCTCTAACGTGAAAAGAAAAAGAGGAAAGATGAACCGTGCAAAGAAGTTCAGCTAAAACGAACAAGCCTATTGACTGCTAGATTGTCCATTTTAAATTTGCATTTTGCACACATATTGTTTTTCTTTTTCTTTTACCTTCTGTGACGATTCCATATTTATTTTGTTTTAAATATGAAAAGGATAAGAAAGTTCAGAGTGTGAAACAGTGCAGTTAATTTAATAAAACGTACAGAGTGTAAGAAAGTGCGGTTGGAAGGAGCAGATCTATCGTTCATCTTTATCCCTCTTTCATTTTCTTGCGCGCTCATTCGTTCCCCGTTATTTCTTCTTTTCTTCTTTTTTTTTTCTCTTTCTCTCTCTTTCTCTCTCTTTCTCTCTCTTTTTCTCCCTCCCGTTCTTCCGTCTTCTCCCCTTTTTTCTCTTATCGGTTCATCTGTAGGATGCAAAGCTATACGCGTATGCGTGCGTGCATCATCCGGATGCTCTCGAAAGCGAGGGAGTGAGGGGGTGTCAGAAGGTGGGAGGGAAAAATAGAAGCGATTGCCTTTTTCGTGCTGTTCCTAAGATTCCGCTCTCGCGATCGTCGATCTTGGCGGTTTGCGTCGTGTGCTTTCCTGGCAACCTCGATAGGAGTGTCGTGAGATTCTATGAGGATAAGGGTGGAGTCGATCGTGCATCCCTCCGCATTTCCCCGTAGTAACGTTATTCACCTGGTTTCTACGTATTTGTGGCAAAACAGGCTCAGTGACAAAATGCAACGTAAACGTGCAAAATTACAAAGAACTTAGGTAGTTATCCTTTTTTTTTATGAATGTTTCTCTTAAAATAATTCGCATTTTTTATAACATTGTATTGTACTTCAAAGAATGCAGAATATTAATGATGCCTTAAAACAACATTGTATACCTAGCGGTATATTTCGTTATTAATCACAAGATTGACTCTGTATAACTCATGTTGTATATATAATTCATGTTGTATTAATTAACTTAGAGAGGTTAATTAACTTATAGCCGTATTCATAGTTCTTCCTTGAGTAAGGATTCCTTGTTCCTCATTCTATAAATTTTACGGTTCCTTGATCGATCAAGGAAGGTTAATAAAATGTAGAATAACTAATAAGGAACAAGGAATCCTTATTCCTCAAGGTAGGACTATGAATACGGCTGTAAGAGAGATTTAACTATTAATGTTTGATGGTTTTCTTTCTCTCTCTTTCTTTAGCTACTTTAGGATTATTATATTTAAACATTCAAGAGCAGTTTAAAATTAATTTAATTTAAAAATTAAAGTTAATTTAAAAGAAAGAATTAAAATTGAATTTAAAATTAGCGAGACGCAGTATAAAAACGCGAAAATATAGAAAGATATTACAAAATATTTTTTTAAAGAACAATCTAGCAATTTTTAAGTACATTGTATTTCCAAGAACACATTAGGTGAGTAGCATATATTAAAGTATATTAAATACAAGGTTGTATATTTGGCATATCTTGCCGCTAATTATCACGTTAATTTGTCCTTCATTAATCCGTTCAATGTATTCTTTTGATTCGTTTGAATTTAACGACTCATTGCCTTATGAATTTTACATTTGGATATTGTATTAAGTTTATGTTAAAATCAATCCCAAGACAGGATGTGTTGAAATCGACCATCTTTGACTTTTTTTATATTGACTGATAAAATGCTCGAAACTGCAAAAAAGTATGCAGCTTAAAAATATATTAACAGCATATTAGAAGGATAATTATTTAGTAGTTTATCTTTCTTTTTCTCTCTCTTATTTTCTCCGTTAATCTATTTATCATACGTTAATGATTAATCTGGGTTTGATGGCTATCAAATCCATTTCATGATTATAACAATATGTCATGAATATTACATTTGGATACAGTTTTTTTGAAATTATAAAGAATTTAATTTTCTATTAATTTTCTAATCATTATTTGTGCAAACTGTATGCACTAATATTACAACGTTCGAACATTCTGTATCAACTAAAAAAATTAAGGGAATAATAATTTATTTATATTAATATCAAAAATTAAATAATATAAAATATTTTTTCACCGAGCAATGCGACAAAGCATAAAAGCATTGAAGCATTTTGGAAGTATTAGAATACAGGAAAAGTTTTATTGCGAGAAATTCTAGTGAACAATGTGTAATTAATATCGGGGGAAATTTTTATTTAATAATATTATCTCAGAATTCTATATCTCTCCCTCTCTTTTTCTCTCTGATTAAATCATATGTACACTTATTTTTACGATGATTATTTTCATCGCTCGCGATCCTAATCGTGTCGACGCAATTCAATGACCATGACAACGTTATATACGCGCGTGAAAATCTGATTATATATGCATTACATTTTTGGCGAATGTTTGATTTACGTATGTACTAACGCACATTGATCTACTATATTACATGCAATATGTGCCTGCGATCCCTGCGATCCATTATATGTGGAATAAAAGGCTGTAATGCGTGCTAATGCGATCACAAGATATCTGTAACTCTTTTAAAGAACTTTTTGATGATTTTTAAAAAGCTATCATATATGTGTAACATTTATTTATATTATTACTGATACTGATCCCAAATACTCAAATAAGGTAACAATTTTAAACTTAAAAAATATTGACCAAGAAAAAGATAAAAATAACAAAGTATTAAAATAACAAAAATAATATTACACGTTTATTCAAACAAATTGATTGATATTAACGTCAACTTTCTTTGATGGATAACAATATTGAGGGAGAATTCACAACCCTAAATTTTGTACGCCACTGTTATATACTGCCGAGCCAATGCCGAATAAATTTCGGACACTGTCTTATAGCAATGATATGCCTCCTGCATTGTCACTGTCACCAGTCATTATTATCACTGCCTAACCACTGACGACAATACCGTCATATATTGTAGGCGACTGCTTACTTTTTTTAGTCCATTGCTGAATTTTTATACACCAATGCCGGCTTCCCCCTCGAACAATATATAATAAATATAATTATTAGGTGAATGACTAAATAAATTTGAGGCGAATGGAGTAGGTGCAATAAGGGACGTTAATATGAATCACTATTTGAGTAAAAAACCATTCCGATGTAATACTTATAATATTTAATCAAAATCACAAATGATCAAGTTTATTCATTATAGCATTGAAAGTTTAATGAATCCATGTATACGAAAACAAGTCCGATTTAATTGCTGCATCAGATAACCTGGAAGCCTAATTGCACCTGCGTTTAATAAACATTTCTCCGTGTTGCATACTTCTTCATTGGCAAGGCAATTTATGTAACGGCACAGGATAAATGTATCTCGCCATGCAATCCACACGCGCCAGACTGTGCAAGATAAACCGTTACCGCCTTGAACTTGCATAACGCTTGCATAATTTTTAATCGATATGCCGAACTATATATGGAGTTTAACAGACTAAAGCTTTAACAATAGTTTTTGTATTTTGTTTTGCTTACAAATCATGACAAAGTTGTAATAATAATCTCAATATTTTTCAAGCTTTTGTAAAAACATAATTCTGATTTTTTTCAATTTTCCATAAATATATTATGGAATATAAAAGGACATTTCTCATTTTTACAATAATTTTTTATAAAAACATTTTTAAATGTCTTGTTTTATTAAAAAGCATTATGTTGATCAAAGTTCCATCTTTATGTTTCTTTTAACGTAAGAACTGTGAAGGAAAAGAATAAATAATTTTGTATTAATCTAATAATTATAGGTGATTTCTGTATAATATTATTTTATTCGTACGCTTTAACATACCTCATGCAAGAAATATATCGTTATACATTTAAGACGCTACTGAATGGCCTACGTCTCTCCAAGGACGTAATATAATTTGCCATTCCGATGGATTATCTGTAAGATATTGCTGCTCGACATCGAATGGCCGCGGTAGTAGGTGATAGTAGGTGTAAGTAGGTGACAGTAATGATTCAGACTTCTACTTTGACTTTCGTAAACGCGTCTCATGCTCAAGTTATAATTTATTACGTCGCATTTAACGAAAATAAACTCGACTCTCAGGTGTTGATCGATCCAAAGCTCCACTTCGGATGTATCTATATATACAATTATAGAAATTGAATTGACATTATCTGAATTAAATAACAAGAACTCTATAGTACATGTATTAGCAATCGTTGTTTTAATCTTGTAAATTATAGAACAAAGTAATATTTCTCGAAAACAATCTTAATTTTTAAATGGAATATGTATTTTAACATTCTTCTTGATACTCGACTTCTATGATAGTATATCGTGAGAATGGTGAATAACAATAAAAGGAAAATTATCGCACATATTTCACTTCGACAATGAAGATCATAGATCGCG